TTTGGTTGTTTCAGCTAAGAAAATTCATTTATGCCAAACTAAGATTAGGTTTTTAGGGTATAATATATGTCAAGGAACTATCATTCCAATTGATAGGGCAATATAATTTTGCCAATAAATTCCCTGATATAATCTTAAATAAAAAAGAACTTCAAAGATTTTTGGGATGCTTAAACTATATTTCTGATTTCCTTGAACAATTAGCAATTATAGCAAAACCTTTATATGATAGATTAAAAAAAAATCCTCCTGAGTGGACCCATGAGCATACTCTTGCAGTACAAAAACTCAAGAGTAAAGCTAAAACATTACCTTGTCTAGGACTATCCAACCCAGATGCCTTTAAAGTAATAGAATGCGATGCCTCTGAACTCGGATTAGGAGGTATCTTAAAACAAAAAATTGGCAACTCGAAACAGCTAGTACGTTATACCTCAAAAGCATGGAATACTACACAACAAAACTATTCTACTGTTAAAAAAGAAATGTTATCCATCGTACATTGTGTTACGAAATTTCAAAGTGATATCTTAAATACTACATTCCTAATACGTATTGATTCTAAAGCAGCTAAAGAAATACTGCAAAAAGATGTAAAGAATCTCGTTTCGAAACAAATCTTTGCCCGTTGGCAAGCGATTTTTTTCTCTTTCGATTTTACTATTGAAAACCTTAATGGTCCCTCTAACTCTCTTCCTGACTTTCTCACTCGTGAGTTTTTGCAGGGGGGCAAAACTCTTGAGGAAGACAACGCCGCCAATCAGCAGTCAATATTAAATATGAATATACAAAATAAAGGAAAAGCCAAAATGGAAATTGTTCCATCGCCATTTGTTGGCTCTCCAATAATGAGTTATCCACCCTCTTCACCTCCTTCACCATCTAGACCTTTGACGATCTACCCAGAATATTCTAGCCAAATAAGTCTGTACCCAAATCCGGTACTTTCCCAGTCACCAATCCCAAATAAAGTATCCTCAACAGGAAAGTCCCAATTTGAGGAAACCATCTTTTTAATAGACTCCTTTATAGAAGATGAACACTGGGCTCTCGACCCAAAAAAAGTTGCAAACATTATTTACTCAATAACCTCAGTCTGTCCAATGGAAATAAAACCAGAGAATGGTATGAAGCCATTCTACTTGAGACAAGATCAATTACTTTAGTTCACTTCTATTAGAGGAATACTAAAATAATTGCCTACTCAAAACTGTAAATAAGAAAAATATTGTTTTATAAGGATTGGGGCTCAGACCCTTTGAGAGGAAGAAAACTACAGGCTCCAGATTTTCATAACAAGTACTACAAATACTTAGAATACACGGATGCCTGGCATAAAATCTTTGCACTCCAAAATATTAATAAGTCCCATACTTGGTTTATCCAAAGAAAAATGCCTGTCACTGAGCCATTTCCAAATTGGTTCAGAAATTGGTTCTTAATTTGGGGATCTGATTCCCAAATCCTCCCAGAAAAATTACAAATAGCCGAGGCTAAGTTTGTAGAATTAATGAAAAAGATCCTAATATAGACTATCGTTTAAACTTCATGGCTATCTATTAGGTACCATGGATTATGAAATAGAAATTCGAAATATCTGAAAATTTGACAAATAATTTTGAATATATCCCAAGATTGGGAAAAAATATCTTTATAAAATAGTGGGATGTGTTTGAAAATAAAGCCCTTGAACCTGAAAGTATAAGGTTAAAGAAAATACTAGGGCAAGCTCCATATGAAAACCTAAATAGTCTTTCAGAATATATTAATAAAATGAAAAAACAAAACCCTGAGGCAACCAAGGAAGAGCTAAAAAGATAACTACTGCAAATTCTTGAAGGAGAAGCAGACGAGGCAGCTATGTCCTCTCAGAATGAAGAAGAAGAAGGAGACTACATAATGGACGATGATGAATTCTCCCAAAGACTCGAATAGAAGCCCGAGGCTCAATAATCATCAGGCGCGATAATCCAAAAGATTCTCATAAGTCCCCATCTCCAAGATATTGACAGCCACCTGTCTCTCTGATGAACAGTACTCCCACTCACCAAAAAGATGAACAATACTCCCACTTACCAAAAGTAAAATACCACCGACAAAATAGGAACAACCACCTGTCCCTCTGAAGATACCATCTGTCCCCTAGCAGAGGCCACCTGTCCCTGCCGACACAAGAAAAGCAACCACTTGCAAAACCATCACCAGTCCACCTGTCCCTGCTGGCATCAGAAAAGCAGCCACTTGTTAAAAGAAGACATGACCATTACAAAATGATGGAAGGCATTTTCAGATCCGGCGATTATAAATAGGAAGACAACCTCCCTGTGAAAAATAAGTCTTGGAAGTCTAGGAATTTCATCTCTCTTTTTCTCTAAGCTCTTTCTCTCTTCCTTTTGTATCTCTTTTTTATTCTTAAAAGTTTCTAAGAAGACTGTATACCTGTGCACCTTCAGTTCTTCATACTTTTCGGGTAACTGTTTCGATTTCAACTCTGCGTAATATCTACTCTCTGATCTCTATAAAATTTTACTGTTTATAGTTTTTCAGTGGTATGATATAAACCACATAGAGTGATATTAGATGTGTGACTGTAATATCACCTCTCTTCCAAGCTATTGCCCTGAAGAATGGAAACTATTTGCTAGTTTTTGTATATGTAATCAGTAAGTCCTGTAACCTTTTCTTGTTAATAAATAGTTATTTACTGTATAATTTGAAATGCAATTAAAATTTATATTTAGCATTAAAATATGAGGAACTACCTTTACTAGATGGATAATTTTAGACATCTCTCCTTTTTCTATATTTGTTATAATACTTGCTTTGATATACTTAGGGTTTAGAATATTTATATAGATATATGCTTGATCTGTATAATTGCACAAAATATTTGATTGCTAAATTGATTATGGGTCTAGTGGTATATATATATGCACCTCAAAATCCATAGGAAAATGTTATTTTAATGTTGAAAAACCTTATAATTGATCATCTCGACAACGAGATGTGTGAATATGAAAAAAAGAAGATTTTTTGAATCCCCGAAATAGTGTATCTTGCAACGCATTATCTAGACCATTATCTTTCAAGATTTTCATATGTTTATAGATCTACTTGATTTTAAGTACTTTTGGAGCTTAAATTTTATAATTAGATATGAAAATAGATTTTCAGATAATCCTAAGAATCTTTTATGCCAAAAATATATGTTACGATCAAATTTGGAGGTGCGCCTTAATTAAATTGTTTAAGGTTTAAACCTTATAGAAACCATACCCATATATATATATATATATATACTACTAAAAAGATAAACCACTTAATATTGTAAGGAAAAAACAAACCATTTCTTATTAATAATAATGAGCCGTTCTCCACAATTATAAGAGAGAAACAAAGAAAACCAAAGTCAAAACCTCATATTTGCCTTTCATTGTCAAAAAAATATCTCTCTTAATATGACGATGTATGGGCATATATTCGTTTGCTCAACCAAGACTAAAAAATGGTAAAAAGAATGCCGACAAATAGAACAATAAAACACGAACAACAATTCCCTACATTGATGCTACCATTCTTATCAGGGCTCTTAACCAGACATGACTTTTTTGTTTTTTTGCTAGTTTAGTGGTAGGAATTGAAAACCATACATAATTTAGGAATAAAAAAAAAAGGGAATTTGCACGAAAATAAACTGCTTCAAACTTATTTTCTTGCAGTTTTGGTAGCAGGACTGTAAGAAAAGACACCAGACTCCAATCACAAACAAAAGCCACGTCCCAAAACAATTCCTATCTGCCTTTTAGTGATCTCTCTCTCTCACTCTCTCTCTCTCTCTCTAAACATGACAAGCTTACAGAAAGAGGTCTAACAGAGTGTGCCTTAAGGCTAAGGAGAGGAAAGACTGGAGGGGTTTAGAGAGACAAGCTTAGGGAAACCTAGATATGAAAAGAGGAAAAATTTAGAGAGTACTTTACGTTATAACATTTGTAAAAGCACAGGTAAATAAATGGATGGTGAAGATGGTTGCAACCCAATTTTAATCGCAAAAAAGGTTGCATCCTGGGTAAGGCATTAACCTTATAGTAAAACCACCTTAAAACCCATTGACAAAATGTTTTTGCCATTTTTATGGCTTCTAATTGCTCATCTTGACCAAAGTTATATGGTAAAAAATAGTGCATCTTGTAAAATGATATTTGGTATTGTATATCATGGGACTAGTTATCTTTATTATAAGGAAGTCACAATTATTTCTAGTCATTAAATGCCAAAATAGATGACCACAATAGATGGATTAGGATGTATGACGAAGTCCTAGAAACGTTTTTTTTTTTACTTTGAGTTAATCAATGACACTCTTATAACCACCCGATTTGAAATCTTATGGACAAAAATGATTTTGACCTCCTTATATACAAAAAATAAATGCTCTTTGTGTATATTTTTCATAATATTTAGATCGGTAATTTTCAAAATTTTCTAATGCTTGTAGATGTGCTTGATGTATACCTTTTCTTTGAGTTTTAAATTTTATAATTAAGAATTTTTTTTTGCACAAATCTCCAACGCCAAAACTACATCTTTCATGAAGATTCACTGATGCACCTTATTTTAATTTTTCAAAATTGAGGCACACGCCCAAGATAAAGAAAGAGACAGCACAAGTGGATGTGGATATTATCCAAAGGGATTTGTAAAGGATTTTGGAATCCATAGGTGATGGTGATGGTGATGATGGGGCATTATCAAATCACAACAAAGCAAAGTTAGGGCCCATAAGCGGTATCAAACCAAGTGGATAATAATAATAATAATAATAATAATAATAATAATAATAATAATAATAATAATAATAATAATAATAATAATTATATATTATTATTATTATTATTATTATTATTATTAATTATTGAAATAAAAAATAAAAAATAATAATTGAGGGGAAGGGCATTTTACGGGGTAGGGGCATATTCTCTCATTGGTTCCAAAGCCGAATGAAGGAACGAAAATTTGATTGATGCATTTCATTTCATTTCATTTCACGACGCTCCTCCTCCTCCCTCTCTTGTTTGTGCCTCCCCATTTTCAGACCACACCACCGAATAGACATAACAATAATTTCCAAATGGCCCTTCTTTGTTCTCCACCAGAGATGGCCTCAAGCTTCGCAATTTGCCCTAAAACCAGCAGTTGCAGGAGGAGCAAGAGAGAGAGCAAGTCCAGAAATGGGGTGAACATTAGGGTTTCTTTGGGGCCTGATTGCCGGAGGTTGGGTTCCTCCTGGGAGTTGATGGAGAGAGAGAGAGTTGATGCTGTACAGAGGGAGTTGGGAATGGGGATTTTGGGTGAAGTGTTTGTTTCTCAGCTGAATTTGTTGAGTTCTGTACAGTATGAGCCACCTTCTTCTAAGCAGAAGGAAGGAGGTGACAATAGCAAGCAGGATTACTATGTGAACTTGGGTTATGCCATTAGGACTTTGAGAGAGGATCTGCCCGAGATTTTCTATAGGGAACCCAGTTTCAATATCTACAGGTTGGTTTGCTTGTATGGTTGTTGCCTTCTTCTTTTTCCCTTTCGTAGTTCTTTGCAGTTTACATTCAGTACACACTGTTTGATGATATTATATTCAAGGTTGGTTCTAGAATTGTAGACTAATTTTTTTTTTCAATTATCGCGGTTGCGGGTTGTTGTTTAGTTTTGGTTTTCTATGCTGTGGATTTGTTTCCATTTTTCTTGAATTTCCTATCATTGTTGTTTCTATTGACAGTTGATTTTTAGTAAATCAATGCTATGTTGACCATTTGTGAATGTTTTAGAAAACGTTTCCTTGTGATTTTGTAATTAATGAGTATAGAGAAATTTTTGACAATGGGCATTTGTTATAACCACATATCATGCGAAAATTTGATTCTCCTACGATTTCCAGGCTGCAATATTGTATTTTTTATGATTCTCTGCCTTCCCTGATTGCCGTCTTTCCAAAATCCTCTTATCCTAGAGGTATTCCAAATTCCTGATATCCTGGAGGTATCACATGCTTTTCTCACCAACCAATCAATGCTCATCTACCCATGCATGTATTGGACTACCCTTTTCCATAATTGTTTAGTGTTATCCCCTAACATCTGTCACCATTTACCAATCAAAGGCCTGATTTGTCTCCCTTAATCTTCATATACTCAAACCACCTTTGCTTTTCTGTTTACATACTTGAGCCCATTCCACCAAATGTAAAATCTCTCAGTCTTCTTTTATGTTAGTGTTTCAAAAAATGCTAGGCGGCATCTAGGAGGCCCAGGGGTCCAGGCCGCCCAGGGCCTAGGCGGGTGCCCAAAACCTGGGCGGCCCAGTAGAAAAAACAAAATGTCTTTATAGTATAACTTTATAACACATAAGAGTTATGGATTTAGGGCACATCAAATGTATAGTCCACACATTCCTCCATACTCCATGAGTCCATAGTGTGATAGTCCACTAAATCTAAATATCAGAGGGTGATGTTTAGATCAATTTCTTGTAACTTTGAGAAACCATTCGATCTTATGGAAATCACCAAAGACTAGTTTTTTGGGATTTTTCTTTCTCTAAAACAGGCTCTAATGGAGATTAGGTTTCAAATGAACCTAAAAACCACGGTTTTACCCCTTTAGCATTACAAAAAAATAAAAAAAATGTCTTCAACGAGGGGCATTTCCGGCCCTGCTTGGTGGGGCGCAAGCCCTATGCGGCCACCCAGGGCTGGGTCCGCCTAGGTGGATTCCCTGGCGCCTAGGTGGGTGCCTAGGTGGATTCCCTGGCGCCTAGGTGGGCGCCTAGGGACAACCCGCCTAATTTGGCCGCCTAGACCTAGGTGAGGTGCCTAGGCCTTTTGCACCGCCTAGGCGTTGGGTGGTCCGCTTTTTAAAACACTGTTTTCTGTTGAGAAAGGCAAATGGTGACTGCTTCCTTAGATTCTGCATAAATCGTTCTTACGATGGTCCTTGTGCTTGATTGTTGTTTATGTTTTTGACCTATGAAATTTGCTGGTGCTTCATTGTTGTTTATGTTTTTGACCTATGAAATTTTTAATTTTTATTAATGCTTAAAAACACGAAGCGAGGCATGGAACTAGTTGGGGGGTCTGACGTGACTCGCAGAGTCCTAAATCTGAGTGGTAAGACTGGGACCAAAATCCCGTAATAACTCGGTCAAGCCTCAGTCGGACTCTTGTGTACTAGGTCGATCTTGTGTTATGCAAGTTGGGGTCATCCGGAACTGCCGAGGTACCGTTCCAAGTGTCTTGGGTTAGGATATACACTGGTTGTTTCTCTATAATGAACTGTTGATAACTGTTCAAAGGGGCTACTTTGTGCCCAATAAACTGGATTCAAATCTCATATTGATGCTCACAGCAGTAACATCATTACTCCAATTTCATCAAACCCAACTTGATCGAAATCCAAGAAATTCTTTTAATGCCATGTAATATACAACCTGGTTCTCCTTTGACCTGGTGTGGTGTTGATGGATGTCAAGAGTTGTTGAGTCTTTCTAGGGGACCTTGTGGTCTGGTTGAATTAGGAATATTTGAGATGGGTGAGCCAAAAAATATGAAAGAAATTGATTTATTGAGTACTTTGCTAGATGTTGTGGATCAACTAACAAACAATGTGAAAGAACCTAGATGATGTAGATGGTGTTGGTCTTCAACTGATGTTGTTTGCAAGAAGAATGGTTTTTGTTAGACTCAATTACCTTTGGTTCTTTTTTTGAAGCATGAGGCCCCATTGCTTATTGAGTATGTCATAATAGACATGCTCCTTGGAAACCTTTAAGATATTTCCCTGATGTGGTTGTGAGTCATATGTCATATCACTCTTTACACCTTTCAGTGTCACTCAATTCTTTTTTTGTTCAAAATTTTCTTTTAGAAAAAATGAAAAGCTGATTTGGATGTCTACATGTGAGAGAGATGTGGATGAAGGAATGAATCATGTATAATGTTGTATTCTGATTCACCAAGTTGTGTGTCTAAAATAGGCTTGTTGTTATATACTAAATCTCATCTTACACTTTACTTGAGCATAAATGCCTCTGAGCTAAAATATTGATCTACTAATCTCGGGTCTATAGAACTTCTTATATATCGAGGGCTCCCTAACCAATACTCTTTGAGCATAGGTATAATCATGAAATGTTCTCCTTCATGTTGGTGCACTGACATCTGAGAATTAACTTACCTTGATTATATTGTAACCTTGTACTATTTATGTCCTTGGTGAACGTGCATACTAGCTGACTGACCTCTAAATTTTACATGAGGATTACCAATCGCCTTGGTTATTACCTTTTATTTAGCATTATGGTACTCTCTTTTATGTGCTTGTTCGCTTACCGATGACTCGGTTTGAGAAAATAAGCATTGATGGTCGGTGTTGTAGTGTATCTCTACTGGGCAGTTGACCTAGTTCTCACTATAATATCTTTCAGCATGTCAAGTTACATGCCATATACATCATTGCCATGTATTCCCACCAGGGAGCTTGGAAAAGTACATCGTGGATCTTGTCACATGGCCCCCATACAGAATCTGCATTGCAGCACTTGGGTAAATAACATGGTCTCCTATTAAAGAGCACAAAGGAACAAGTTCTCCTACTTGACAATAAGAGAACCTCACCTATTATGGGCTTTGAGATGCCTCAGAATATGATGCAGAAGATTTATGTGAGTAGTGGCACGTGCCTGAGCTGATTGACCACACCGTATTTGGTGCTCAAGTGAGTGATGGTTCGATAAGTGAGCCATCTCACTAGGTTTTTTTGATATCTTTGATTATCCTAGGTGGGCTTTCCAGTGTGAAATTTGAAGTCATGTGCTGGCCTAGGTAGGCCACTCAATGGGTTTGGTGGTAACTTTTCACTCCTTTTAAAGATCAAGAGCATACTTCCCATGTGAGATGAGGGTACCTTTACTAGATTTGTCTTCTATGCCAAGGAAAAACACAATTTCCATTGTTCTTTTAGGACGAGTTTGGACAGCCCCTCTAGGGATGTTCTTCTTTTAACTATTATGGAATAAGTAAAAAGCATATATTTGTTTTCATTTTATTTGATTCATTTATCCACAAGTGGGGTTCCAAAAGCGACAGACACAAACCACTTGCACTGGTATCTCTGCACAAGTGGAGGAAAATAACATTACAAAACCCTTTCAGTGGTCCGTCGAAACTGCTCTTTAGGGCGAAGGCCTTTCTGATTTGAGTTTTCAATTCCACTACAGACTGTGGGTCATCACCTGTAAGTCCAATATACAAACATATACTAGTATCATGATAATCTGCCTTCCCTTTTGACAACTATGGAATAGCCACTATTCCTCCTTTTGAGGCTGATAAGCAGTGTTGTTAAATTCGCTCTGCTTCGGACAACGCACCCGAAGTCTTCGAGTTTCCCCTAACCACTGAAGTGAAGCAAATAGCAAACTTGTGATTTTGTTAGTTTCGGCATGATATTTCGTCATCCAAAACAAAATTGCGGCCTCATTCTAAAACTGAAAAACTAATTCTTCAAGGAGAGAGAGAGAGAGAGAGAAAGAGAGAGAGAGAGAGAGAGAGAGAGAGAGAGAGAGAGCACGACGACCGACCCCGAACCGTACCAACCTACTACGACGTCGTCGTGTGTAGTCGACGTACGGTACCGTACCGTCCCTACCGTACGCCACCACTCCCG